GAAGGGCACAGGCGAGGTGCGAATCCGGGCAGGGGCACAGTGAGCCGAGGAGGCAGAGTGGGAGGAAGCGGCGAGCGGGGGAGAGGGAGGCAGAGAGCCGTGCGCGCACAGCCCAGCGCTCCCACTCATCCGCACACTCCGACCGAGCGGGCAGAGGGGATGCGGAGGAGGCTGGGGCACCAGAGACTTGGAGCCCACTAGCCCTACTGTAGCTTTAAGGCTGGGAGACTGATGTATGGTTTGGCTCCTATTGGCTATCTCTCAGGGGCTGGACTTAAAGTGACAGAATCCAGCCGGGGTGGGGGGAGGGGGGTGAGCCAGAAAGACTTCAATGGAAGAAGACGCTCAGCGCAAGGTTCCCACCTCCTGAGGAGTAGAGCACAAGGCCTGCCCTCTCCAAGTTAAAAGGGAAACAATGTTCAACTGCCTGGAGGGATTGGGGTGGGGGAAATAGAGTTGCTGCTTATTACCACCTCCCCATTCTCCACCATCCCATCTTCTGACGACAGGCCTGGCAAACTCACCTCTCAGCCTTTTGAAATGGGTTTGTTTTCCAAATTAAAAATGAGTCTCATCTCTCCACCCAAGCAGCAAGAAGAGGCCAGCATCTGAGAAATTCACAGCCTCAAACCCTGTGTTTATTGTGCAAAAGTGCAACGGTCAGGCCAGCAGGTGAGGCACAGCAAGACGCCAGGAGAGAAACAGACTCCTGAGCTCCTACCACCTGGGCCAGTCAGCTCTCAACTACTCTCCAATGGCTGGACGCAGGGTGTGCAGCTGTGAAGTGCCCTCTAGGTGTGTGAAGTGAGCTCCATTCACTGGCAACTCTCAGAAACGTACCCAGGACACAGACACGAGCCAGTAAACCCCTGTCTGCCTAGGAGAATACAATCGTGGTTTCAACGACCACTTACCTGTCACATCCACTAGGCACAAATAGACACTTTTGAATGCACACCTGAATCCCCAGCTACGAACACACCTGCACTTCTGTCCGCTGCTCCCTCGTTGAACCTGAATATTATGGGCTGCCACTGTACCGAAACGAGCTGTCGGTTGAGCCTCAACCCTTCTGTGTCTTTTCATCATTTGCCATGTGCAGGCCACAGGGATAACAATCAGTTTGATGATTCAGATGAGTTTGGGCAGGGAGTAGGTACAGAATTATTTAAAAGGAGAAAAAAGCCCTCAGGAGGGACCGCCACCTTACTCTCCTATATTCTACAGAAGATGATGAGCTATGGGGGGAAGACATCATTTTATCGTCAAAATAATGTCTAAGTGGAGTGTGACTGCAGGCAGGATTCAGCACGTCAGGAATAAAAGCAGGGAGGGCTGTCTGGCACCCCAGGAGGGGCCAACCACAAGGGAGGGCTGGCTGAATGGGCAGCAGGATCGCAGTTGATCTTTGACTTGGATAAATGTCTGTCTGTACAGCCTGGGAAGCAGAGCTGCTTCCTAAGTGCTGAATGGAGGAGCACGTGGATTCTCTGGGTGCGAGGCTCAAGAAGCCATCTCACAGAGGCAGATGAAGATGTCTGCTGTCAGCAGACCCCCAGCAGCCCTGGATTTTTAAACGTTTTTAATCACCTAGGCACTTGGGCACATTAGTTTCAGAAAGAGAGGTGCAAAAAGGCCCCGCTTGAGCCTGCTTTCTGTATGACCACAGTCTTTTGCCCAGACTTCAGCAATAGTTTGTTTGTCCTCTTCCCCCCTCTGGAATCCATTTTCCAAACAGAGTAGCCAGGACATGCTCTGTAAAATGCACATCCAAAGGCCTTTTGTGGCGATTAGGAATGGGGCCCAAGTCCTTGGCTGGCAGGGAGGGCCTCCCATGAAGTGGGTCTCTCTATATCCCTCCACAGCCTATGCCATACTCCACTGGGCCCTGGCCCTTGCACCTGCCACCCAGAAATCCCCACCTTCCCAACTGCACGTGAACCTTCTGCTATTCACATGGCTCCAGACATTTATCACAGTTTCCAGTGATCCGTGCACTGGTGTGAGCAACACGTCTCTCCA